CTCTTTCTTTTTATCTAAACTGTATGGATCTTGTTTTGATTATGCCTTTTTTGCGTGTAGCCCTTCAGGCTCTTTTTGCATGAGAACATAAAGAACTAGTAAAATCCAACGTGACTTATCGAGAGGCAGGGCAAGACCGCTTGCCGGATTCCATCCTTATTGGCGATTCAGCAAATTCATCAGCTGTTAAGAAATGACTTTGGACAGTAACACAGCCCATTGTTGAGGCATATCTATATTAATTCATGTCTATACCTAGAAAGACATTTATAGCATTTCCTTGTATATAGATATACCTCAACTTAAAGGTACCCAGTAGACAATAAGTCCTGTGCTAATGCACTTAAAGCCTAACCTAATCTACATATACAGTAATAAAAATACATGGCTATCGGCTACTGGGTTGGTTTACTCAGTTATCGTTTACCGGATCCGTTAAATAAAGAAAATTGATTAATAGTCTATTGAAAGTCTAGTATCAGTGACTCTTGCATTTGTATTCATTCTTAAAATTCCACTTTGTACTAACAACTTGAACGTAATAAAAGCCATAAAAAATCTGAAATGAATAGCTTCGGCAGCCATTATGTTCGTATTTGCAAAAAAAATTTGACGAAGCATACATCATAAAATATCTAAATGTATTTAGTAAAAAGTCAAGTTATAAAAATATTTTCGATTAATTTTTGTATGTTATTAGACTAGTTAAAAGGTTTTAGAAAAGCGTACATTTTCATGAACTTATTTTATTTTTAGTTTCTTCTGCATAGAATTCATTATTAATTATATTTAAACTTTGATAACTTCTTTCTTCACAAAAATCAATAGTATGGCTATGATCATTTTTTTGCATCCTACCTTCAATTATGTTTTAATTTTTATAACAGTTTTTGTATAATAATTAAAAAAAAATTTTTAATCTGTACGTTTGAAGAATCTTTGGAAAAAATAGTCTAAACTCAATGAGTGCACAGAAAAAACTTTTTTTAGGTTATAACAGTATAACTTGGTTAATTAAAACTTAGAAAAAAAACTTCAAACACAAATGTTTTAGGAACAATCAATGTGTGTATTTTATTAAGGAATCTTAAAAATTGGGCGCAATTTCACATTTTTAATTAAACGCTTCAAAACTTTTACTGGCTTAGCTTGGGAAAATTTAATTTTACTTTAGAAAATGCTGCCATCTTTGAGAAAATTCAGAAAATCGGACAATTACACAAGCACTTGTATTTTTGCTTAAACTTGAAAGTGAGAATTTAAATAAAATGTTTTCTGATATTTTTGTCTTTGATTGTCCTCAACAAGTTTAAGATTTTAAGCTTCCATTTTAAAAGTTTTAAGATAGATGTTTTACCAACTAGATTTGGATTAAAAGCTGTTAAAATCGAGAAGATTTGTGTACAAATCATGTGATAGACTTAGCCAAGAAATTACACAATATTAATGAAAACCAATTTGTTTTGATCGCCGATGGCACTTATTTAAGATGTCAAAAGAGTGCAAATAGTATCAAAGAAAATTATGTTCAGGGCAAAAAGGGTATTTCTTTGTCAGCCTTTTACTATTTGCACTAATGATGGTTTTGTGGTTAGTATCTTATGACCTTATGATGCAAACGAAAATCATTCTACTATTTCAAGAGAATCGTTAGATGATAATAGTCGCTTACAAGACTTATTAAAAAAAATCGTTGTTCTTATTTTGGATAGAGGATTTCGTAATGTGGTGCAGGAATTACAAAGCCAGAGTTCTCGTGTACTCATGCTTTAAAAAAGAACTTTAGAATGCTTTAAGAAAGAAGCAGTACACGGTATAGTCAGTCAACAACTCATCATTAGCTTGACAATCGACTACTTTCTTATACTGTAAAACTGTTTGGTTTCTAATCAATACATTTTGAAATCTCCTGTAGCTCCTACGAATGAAGTTCTTAAAAATCCTCAGAAGTGTGATAACATAAATACTTCAACTATAGAAGTAGAAAATATTCGATGGTGCAAAAAAAACATTGCTAACCAAAATTTTATCTTCTGATTTATAAGATTTTCCAAAGATGACGGAGTAAGATTTATAAAAATTTTATACAAAATTAAACCAAGTATCTCAAGCTATTTCTTACCGAGCAGAGTTGATGGATGATAGCAGTATGTGTTTGAATCACTCTTTATTTGAACGCTGAAGATACAAATCGGCAGTTCTGCTGTGACATATTTTTAGAGTAAGTGGAGCGACGTAGAGGTCCGATTCAGGAGTCTTTCAGTGGGAGTGCAGGATCAGGAAGAGCATATGTTGGTTGCCGTCGATAGTATCTGTTATGCCCGCGAGGCAGAACCACATCTCTCATTCCGCAAAGAAAAGAGAGGGAGAGGGGTGAGAATGGGCGCGCAAGACAAATCTCGCACAACCCACCTGCCTTATTTCTTAAACGACCTCAAGTTTCGCCCACTGTGCCTGGGTTGGACTCAGCCACAGGGTCTTTAGAGGGAATGTCGCTAGCACCAGGTGACAGAATGGGCAGTAGATAAAGCTTACTGGTAAGATGGATGCATTCACTCGTAGCAGTCCAGATGGTGGCGGCGCGACTGAGCCTGTTGGGTCCAGGATGAACCGACCTAGCATCCAGGTGAACTCTAGACTGGAGGAGCGTGGTATCTACCACGGTGTCCTCGTCGTAAATCTGGAAATTATGACGTGGAACCTTGCACTTATGTCGTTGTTAGAGTGTATTTAAGTACTTGCTGCTCCAGTGGCTCCAGAACTGGTCTCGGATTCCCCAGATCAGCTTCCAGTGACTCAAGTGATCGAGCTTCATGAGTGGGGTTCTGGTCTGAAGCACTGAATTCAGCGGGCCTCTGACTCAAAAGTTCCCAGAGGTGAGAATATCCAGAGCATTGAAGCCTCCAGTTAGTAGAGTGAGAGGGTGGCTATGGAGTATTACTTTGATGCTGGCTAAAACGGTCGAAAACTCCTCGTGGATGAGGTTGCGTGGTCCAAAGATACGGGGAAGATGATGTTTTATCGCTTTCACATTGGACTCCCATAATCTGGGCGCCCAAGGAGGAATAAAGTGCCATGTGACGCCTTGCTCTGAAAGTGAGCCAGCAACACGCTGCCACCTTATTTCGGCATCCTGCTGCGCGAAAGCAAGTAAGTGCTCTGATGAATGACTTGGTGGAAAGATCGCCAACGAGCTCAAAGTGCACCGCCTTGTTGGTCATACGGAAGAAGATCTTGTAACACATACATATATATGCGTAGCAAAAAGACTAACAAAATAAGCTCTGGTTGATCCTAATTGGTCCAGTGGTTATCCCCCACAATAAAAAAAACCTCGTTTTTTGAGCCAATATTCGAAAATTATTAACTCTTTTTTGCGTAAATATTAAGAGCTAAAATTTGGCAGAGTTGTAGCTTTAGTAATCTTTAATAACCGGACCAAATTTCCGCATGATCGAATAGATAGTTTTTGCAAACCGCAGCTAAAAGCAAAAAAAGGTAATTTGTGGAAATGGCCTAAAAAAAGTTGTTCAAAACCTTAGTTGCAATTTCTTTGCGGGATCATATTCTTTAATACTTACCCCACAACTTACTAAAATATCGAATTTTTTTGCAGTGTAGAAGTTGGTTATTCGTTCCCGAGATATCATTATGTTTAAGAATGTTTGCAGTTTGAACGTACTCGCGTGGTCACACTGGAGCCGAGCTTCGGAAAGTTGACTTGGCCTATGTATCGGTGGCTACGGCAGCTTATTGCCTCTCATGTGCCGTACTGCTGTGTGCCAAAAATACCCATGTGGTTGATCATTTTTTAAGCAACTTCTACACAGCAAAAAAATTAATACTTTGGTAAGTTGTAAAAGAAATGTTCAGAATATGATCCCGCAAAAAATGCATCGAAGGTTGTAAGAAAAATTTATTTGTTTTGCCAAAGAACCTTTTTTTTTGTATACAGCTGCGGTTTGCAAAAACTATCCATCCGATCTGGCTGAAATTGGATCTGCTTATTAAAGATTACTAAAGCTACAATTTTATTAAATTTCAGCCCTTAATATCTATGTAAGAGAGAGTTAATTCTTTTTTTAATGTTGGCTCAAACACGAGATTTTTTTTATTTCGTGGAGAACCACTGGACCCCTTGAGATTACCCGGAGCTTATTTTGTTCATTTTTTTGGCATGCACTTTTTTTTTTTTTTTTTTTTTTTTTTTTAAGGCTAACTGTTTGTTTTTGACGCTAAAAATCGTGTTTTACCAATTTCTTCATTGTTTTTAAAACCTTAGTGGAAAATATTTTTAGTTCGATTTTATTACAATCGATTGGCATTGTTTAATTCTCTACAACAAATTTTTTTAAACAAGTCTGAATTTTTATTGCTGAAAACGCAATTCGAAAAAACAGAAGCTGAAATGGCACAGTACTTTAATTATTTCAGTTAAGGTAATAGTCAAAAGTGCAATGAAACAGTGAGCCTATTGCCACTACAAAATTAAAAAAAAATTTCTCTATATAAGCACTTTCTTCAGCTAGTACTTTTTGCGCTTTTTTCAAGGCAATTTTGAGTTAGCACTTCGTTGAAGTTAATTATGAGTTAGTATTTTGTTTAAGGCAGTTTTGAGTCAGCCCTAATTTTACTGCATGTTGATACTTTCTAATTATTTAAATGTGTGTTTGTAGTCTCACAAAGGATACTTAACTTTTTTTGTTAGGATATGCATTCTTAATCGTGTGTGGTTTTAATTACCTTAATAATTAAGTAAGTGCTGAACCAATTACTAAATATCGATGATGGTTTGATAAGTTAAAAAAAATGATGTGTTCTTATGATAAAGAGTAATATTCACAGGTTGCTATTTCAACAAAACTTGTTGCTTACAAAAAGTGCTGTAAGATTGTATTCGTTTGTTAATTCTACTTACGTTTTTCTTACAGTTATTATTGTTATTATTTCTCTGTATGTTACAAGTTGATGTACTGAGTTTGATATTTAAAAATTTTCAGGAGTTTATGCTTTGTAAATCAGAAGAGCCGGATCCTCGTCGTTGTATTGATGAAGGAAAATCAGTTACTGCTTGTGCTCTTGAATTTTTTAAAAAAATTAAAAAACATTGCAATGAAGAATTTGATCAATATTACACTTGTCTAGAAAAATCAAGTGGAAATTCAGCATTTTCTCCGTAAGTAAATTTAAATAGTAATTTTAATTAGAAACTGGAAAAAAGCCATAATTTAAAAAAAGCATAGATTGGCTAAAAGCTTACTACAGTTTTGAGTTAGACTATCATATTACATTAGAATTTTGCACANTTCTTACATTTCCAATAATTAACGCCCTTGCCACCTTAAAACAGAATCAAAGAGAATTAATAAATTACTATTACCAAAGACTTTATATTATTTTTACCGTACTCCAGAAAACTAATGACGTAATGAATAGCAATATAGCATGAAAAATTGAATATTATTATTAAATTTAAGTTTATTAATCTTAGAAAACAGATAATTTCAATTCTTATGCAAAAAGTGAAGTATAATTTGTTTTATTTTTTAAATTAAATTTTTGAATGTACCCGTGTAATAATCCCATGTCATTACCTTTTTTTTCTATGGGTTACCGCGACAGCGTATGAGCCTAGTCGCCGGGGGCCTAGTCACCCACTCACCACTTATGTGAGGAGTTGTATTGCATCACCCAATTTCAAACTCATTAATGTCATACCTTATCATATCAAATGGGCACAGTCCAAATATCCCCGGTGAAACACCGTGCTTAAGCTGCGTACCAGAAGCGTGCATTTCAAGCTAATGTAAGACTTAGTTTGGTGACTAAGCTGTGCAAAAAAAGCTCGAGCAGACCAGGCCAATGTAGACTCGCCTAAAAAGAAAATCAAAGAGGAATAAGAAAGAAAGGACTGTCGACTTGGGTTCTGACGTTAAAAGCAGCAGCATGATTATTGTCATTGCCGCAAGTACTCTTGTGTAAGCTTAGAATTATCGTTGCGGCCAACCGTGTAAGATCTTGCGACTTTGTGCACGCAAACAGCCGCTAACTAACGATCATAGAAGTAAGTCAAGTTAAGAAAAACTATACATTTTTAAAACACTGTAGTTGCGAATTAAAAAACATTATAATTTGTATTATTTGTAAAAATCGAGTATTTCCGGCTTTACCAAATTTATTAAATCACCAATTGAGACGTTACTTAGTTATTGATTAAATTCATTTTATTAACTCAAATATTTCGAGATTTAGAACTCATTTAGATAAAAATATTTTAACTTTAACAAATAAATTAAATACTAAGCAAAAATAAGCAGATAACGTACAACAATGACCTTCACAAGAACGTGAGATAAAGAGACGAATAAAATACGCTTCTACTGCATTACATAAGGTAGAGTTTTAAGCGATAGGTTAACGTTAGCTGAGCGTACGACACATTAAAATTACTCCATCTATACTATTTGGTGAAACCTTACACTACAACGCCGAGTCACCGATTTAAATAGTGTAAGTAAGAGCATAGAAGACCTTTGGGCTGAAGGCTGGTTTCCGGACGTGCAAAAATTAAACTTATTTGTTTATAAAACAAATTCACGAGTTTCTTCCTTTACTTAAAAGTTTGGACATAACATCTTAAGGTATCCCTGAGGGTTTGATAAGGGATGGAGAGTGCTCATTCTGGAAAGAGACAACAACCTGGGATCAACCAGAGAAATAAGACTCAAACTATCCCAAAGCTGAACTAGAAAAGCCAAGCCTGCAAAACTCAGTACAGGGTACTTAAACATTAAATGCGCGCAAAAAACGAATAACTATGAGCAACTTAACTTTTTCTTCATGAAATCATCAAACACTTTAGTTGGTGTTGATAAAGTATCATAAAGCCTACAATAGCTTGATTAAAATGGTTCGAGTTCATTGAAATGCGCAATAAAATCTGAAATCTTATTTAAGACTTAGTTTTAAGTACCTTAGATACGGCATTTAAAATAGTAATAGGTCTAACTTTCCTCGTGAGTTTGGGTGCCTTGATTGTGGAAGTGGGACACACAATAAGCTTCTCTTACGCCATCAAAAAGATACTAGATTGATAAGACGTATCTAAAATAATTATCAAAATAAACTTTATATACAAAACACAGTCTTTTAAAAAACGAAGAGGGGTTTTATTAGTTGCATTCAAGCGTCCCTTATTAATAGCATCATAAGTATCAGAAGCCACCGGCTTCAAGAAGAATCTGTCTTCATTGCTCAGCCAAACAGCAGGTCCGCTGTCACTCAACTAAACAGAATTTTGGGTACCTACAGAAAACACATTCAAAGGCAATCAAGATCAAAACAGTATTAGGTGTGGCAAGTTTTGCACGGTTACAAAGTAAATTACCAATTTCCTTGTCGTTGTTCTTAAAGGTACGGTTACATGGGCGACATCCAGCATTTCTTGCTTTTAATATTCCACGTAGCCCAACAGTAACCTAAGGTGGCTCGAGCGTATAGTATGTGTGCATTGTGACATGGTTTTCGTTAAAGTTTATAACACTTTGCATAAATAATGAAACCTTATAATCTACGTCTAGTGAATTCAAATGTTTATTGTATACATGCATGATTGATTTTGATGCATGAAGTGAGCAGTCATATTTAAAACAAGCAAGAAATATGCAATGTTCCATATGATGCAATTTATTGAAAGACAGTCGTTTTAGATTGAAATCATGCAAAGAGTTATCTTCCCTTTCTAGACGGAAAAGTAAAGAATCCGTCTATGTTTAACTCACCAAGACGAAAAATATTGTTATACGCACCAATGCTGCCGAGTAAACGCAAGTCAATGGACCGAGTAGACTCATGGACAAGCATAGCAACGGCACACAGTGTAACGAAACGGACTTTTTTCCAACAATAAAATAGCGCCGGCTTTGAGCATCCGATTTGAATAGTTTTTTCTTTAAGGTTGTAGGTAAAATTCTACAAAATATGGGAAATGAGGTCTGAAATATTAAAAAAATGTAAGGGACGTAAAAACAACCCTTAACACAAAAAAAATATGTAATTTGTCACCTGAATAGGAATATTTTTTTTAAATAAGAGTACAAAATTTCAAATAATATCAGAACCAAACAACAAGGATTCCAAATTACAATAACAAGCCCTTGACGATCGTAAACAGCTATACATACTTGGACGTTGATTTCTCCTCTTCTTGTACCTTCTGATCTCACATGGATATAGCTCTTACTAAGAAATGGTAGTTTTCGTATCTGGTGGCGCATGTTGCCAGGGCAAGCACCATTTTTGTGATTGCCTTGGTTGGATGCGCACCAGGTACAAACCCTATTTTTCCTACTGAGGGTACATTAAATTTACACTAAACGTCCAAATGTTAAAAAGAACGTCCAAAGGAGGAAAACAATGAATTCAGGCGCCATATAGCCAATTTTCTGCACGGAAGTTTAACAACTGTCATGCAGGCAACAAACTCTGTAAAGCTCTTATTGCATTTATTGCTCTGTGTTGCTCTGAAGTCTGACGATATCTTAAAAGAAATGAGAAGAACTCAAAATGTCAGGTTTGAGATGAATGATTCAGTATATTGTATTTATGTATCTGAATTTCAGAGATTCTTACATTTCCAATAATTAACGCCCTTGCCACCTTAAAACAGAATCAAAGAGAATTAATAAATTACTATTACCAAAGACTTTATATTATTTTTACCGTACTCCAGAAAACTAATGACGTAATGAATAGCAATATAGCATGAAAAATTGAATATTTTAATAAAGTAAATCTCAGTTTTCATCCGATAAAAATTTGATCTCCTGGAAATCGTATGCAACGAATTATTTTAATCAAAAGTAAAAAAATGATATAAGAATGAAGAACAAAACAAAAGGTTAAATAAAATGTAACAATTTACAAAGACGAATCAATAATATTTCTTAAAACTTTTTACTTGAGTTTTATTATTTTTAATTTGAGTGTTTATGAAAAATTAAACTTTAACTTGAAATTTGTCTGGTAAAATTATAATTATAAATTAAGCAAATGTGCTGTGTTAGGAATACCATTTAAGTCCAATACGCTATAAATGCTAAAATGCTAAAATAGTTTTACTGCCAATCAACAAAAAAGAGATCAATACGTGTAAATTCGATGCAAATTAAATGAAATACCTAAGTACACAAAGAACTAATAAATCGTATCATCAATCAAAAATTCTTATCGTTCATGAGTATAAAGTTATTGAACCAAGTGTATTTGAGCCTGAAATTAAAAAAAATAATAATAAGTTACAATACTTAAAAGTTTCTACATGAGGCGTCATGGATTTTTTAATGCAAAATAAATTATTTTCCTGCTTTTTTGTGGTTCTTCTTTAGTATCTTGAGAACTATTGATTATCAAAAAAAAGTTAAGTACAAAAGTTCTTTAAAAGATAGTTTTCAATAGGGATTAAGTAATTAAAAAAATCAAAAAATTAATTTTCATTGTTGAAATAAGCAAAAAAGCAACAAAAAAATAATATTAATAATAAATCCGTAGATACTAATAATGTATTTTATCTCTCAAAAATTCAGATTTGTAAATAAGCAAACAAAAAAGTTCTTTTGCAATAACTTGATTTCTTTGGAAAGAATCTTGAAAAATTAGTCTGATTTTTTTTAGCAGGTAACAAAACCACATACTATGTAAGAGCTAAAATCTATTTAGCTAGCTCACTGTTTTGGGTAGATACTACTTAGTATCCAGAATCAGACAAATTGGGAGGTTGGGCTAACAGCTAAATGTAAGAGAAAAAGAGTTCTCAAATTTTGGCAACTTAACCATCTACGAACTAGTTATGGGAATGCTTGGCTGAACTAAGTCATGCACTACTCTGTCATGACAGAACCGAACTCATCAATCTGCAAAGAGCGCTAGAGCGTTAAAAGTCCATTCTTAAAATTTTCTCCGAAGATGCTTAATGGTAAGATTGACTTTGTCACATGACAATGGATGTAGGAGCTTGACAGATTTATGTTTGTACTTTACTAGTTCTTATAGCATGTAAATGCTTACAGGTAAGATAATCATTTATGTAATGTTTTTATTCATTGAAAAACTCTATAATGTATTGGGAAAAATGTTCAAGAATTCAAAACCATACCAAAGTACTTTGTAAGCCGCCAC